CAGAAACATATTTTTCCTTTGTTTTTAGGTAGACTAGAAGGCCTTGAGAAACACCAGTCTTCACTCAGGCAACAAGTACTGTAGTGTTTGCTTGCACTGACTCTTCCCTATTGTGAAGATAATTTCTTTAGAACAGCTGAACACTGAGTCATGGTTTGAAAAACAAAAAGTAATGTGAGTAAACACTTCTTAATTTCTGTAATAGTAAAAATGATGTGTAAGTATTTTATGAAGTAAAACAAATTACATGAAGGGACTTTTGAGTGTTTTTTGAGCATAAGATTATGACTGTCCAACAGGAAAGGAACATTCCAATACTCTGGGGTCAGAAGTCAATGGCTGAAGAAGTGACATGATACATAAGTCAGTTTCCTATAAGGTGAATCACATAACTGTTAAAAGGCTATTTTTCTATTTAAAAACCTTATTTTTTTCCATTAAAATATTACTTGGTGTTCCATGCTGTAGTACAACATAATATTTTCTTTGGGATATTTTAATTTATAGTTTAACACATATAATTGGACTGTAAATTCTTTGGACTGGATGAGACCTTGTTAGTAAAATCAGCTCATGTTTTTTGAGCCAAGTGTCTTTGGAAACCTAAAGGAGCAATATACATAATAGGGTCTGATAATGCTCCGGGGCATAACCAAACAATAGGCAGTGAAAAGCTTAGTAACTGATTTCTGCATCTATTTAGTGTACAAGGAGGTGAGATAGCTGAAGCTGACTTGATGGCCTAGCAACTACAAATTAATATTTTGATAGCTTCAGTAAAGTTATGCTGTAGAAGTTCCTGAGCATGAACACAACAGCATTTTTCCCCATATGTTTTTTAACTTAAAAAACATACATTCTTCTGAAGCCCCCTCTTTTTATTGCCCAAGGTACTCATAACTCCTGCGGTGACTGAAGTTCTTGATTATAATCAATGTTACTGTTGAATAGTCTTGATGGTTACCCCTACATTCCATTTTTTTTTTTTTTAAATACAGCCAGATAGTCAGCAATGGAGAGGTTGTATGAGGGAGAAGTCTGTAGTAAGATGGGGGAAATTAATGAGGTTTTAGATCACACTTTCCATGTTGACGAGCACTTTCTTTTTGTTAACCCATATAAGCTTTCATGCCAGGAATATCTTAGGACAACAAATGTCACAGATTAATTCTGTAATATGTGAGAAGACATTTCTGAAGGTACAGTTCTCAAAACATAAAAGGCTTTGCTAGCCTAGAGTGGAATTAGTCAGCGGGTTCTTTCTGTTCAATTTTAATGTAACTAGATTTCCAGGTCATCTTAGGAAACTTTTTGCTGGCTAACAGGTGAATTTTGCAATCCTGAACTAATACAAGGCTTGTTCCAGAGTCATATGTTCATATATATAGCTCTATGTTAATATACGTAACTCAGATAATTTCAATAGCATTCATTTATTTTAATTCATTAACAGTCTTAATATGTATTATATTGTTAGGATTGGTATGTGAGGCCAATGAAGCTGAACAGACTGTGGTAATTTTAAAGCACTGACATTTTTTATTACAGCACCCTGACATTAATTAATTGGCAAAGATGCTTTATATATTGAAATTCTGTACAAATTACATGCAAAATGTAGTCCTTTCATATGTCAATGTGCTGCCCACGGCTGTAATTGTAGCATCTGCGCACATCACATTAACAACATGGGAGAAGTCTGCAGTACCACAGGATTCTCTCCTGTTTGCCATAATTGCTGCGATTAGTAAGAGGGCAAAAACTGCATTTGCTTAGTCCATCAACACAAGTTATACAATATTTAAGGAATAAGAGTTATATAGTTGCATTTTGCAGTAAGATCTGAAGTTCAGCAGCTAAAATGATGCTTACATCCTCTCCCATTTTGCTGTACAAATAAGATTAAGCCATTTGTCAGGTTGGTAGAGTGCATAGGAATGTCCTTGTCATCTCAGAGTGAGTGAGCTGTCTAAAGAGTTTTCCTATTCCTACATAATTTATTCACTGATCCTTTGAAAACCAGTAAATTGCAGAGTGCAGTTATTCATGGCGTTTGTGAATGGGCAACTTGCTTTTGTTCTCTCAGCAGGTGCGTAGGTAGGAGAAACAGCAAGATAAGCTGCAGTGAGTCCTATTCATTCACTTAAAATTAAAACCAAATAAATAAATAAATAAAATCCTGTAACCAAAGAGGGCTTGCTGCGTGTGATTATCATGTTCTGTCTCTGGTTATGCCATTTGGAAATCACCTTCACTCCTGTCCACTAAGAATGGAAGTTAGGATATTACTACATGAGCTTTCTAAGTCATAAAAGTTTGCATTTGTGTGTGGAGAAAATTTGATATGCAGCTGTCTGAGAGCATGAACCAATCACAAAATGAAAGTAGGAATTCTGAGAAGTTCCCATTTTTATCACTCTTCTTTTTATCTTGTTTGTTCTGTTACTTATCTTCCTTGGACATGTACCTAAGTCTGTCAGCAATCAGTTACTCTCTCGGAAATGTTCCTCCGTCGTAACCGTTCAAACTGATTAAAAATTATTTATTATCTCTGAAAATTTCTGAGCTCAGATCCTTGCTTGATGATGCCAAGGTCCTTAACTAAGAGTAGAATGGAATAATTTTAAAAAGTTTCATTTGCTTATTTAATCAGGAAGCTCATCATGCCTCTGGTTTTGCTATATACAGTCCGTTAAGTTAGAACGGTAAGCTACTTCAATTTGAGTTAAGCCAGTTCTCCAGTTCCTCTGAGGGCTCTTTCTTCCATGCATATTATCATTCCCCAGTAAGCAGAGTCTGGTTTATGAGCATTGTACATGGACATTTTTTCTCCTTTATTAAAAATCACAAAAAGACATGCAACTGAATTTGTGCCAAAATGTCAGAGGCTTAAAACACACGAGAGAACAATAATAATGATAGGTGCTTCTGGAGGTTTTAAGACATTAAACCAGATTTCTTTCTGTCTGTGTATCTCAGCAAACTTCTAATAGGCTTCTAACTACACAGTTCTGTTATTTTCGTTGTCCCATTTTATCAGTTAGCACAGCATCAGGATGGGTAGATAGTAGGAGAGTACTGCTACTACAGAAGGCTTTGAAAAAAGGACTTAGCAATTGCTGCTAGAAATTACTTCAAAAGTAGTAATCCAAGTACTGTGTCAACAGAAAAATTCTTTGATGATGGTGGCATGACTGAAAGCAGAGGTAGTGCTTCAGTATCAGGGGTAGAAGCAGAGGCTGAGGCTTGAGTCACCATCAGTGATTTTGCCACCACTGAGAAACTCATTTACAAGACAGGAATTTTGCAACACTTAGTCTTAAAAAGGGAAATTAATTCTCCTTTGAAATTAGCCGTAGTACCCTGTACCAATTATTATCTGTTGCTTGTTAATACACTGAACGTTTCCTTTTTTTGCCATCACTCTGTAATACAAATGTTAATGTAAGATGTAGCCAGTATTATTATGTAAATCTTCTCTCAGCAGCTTTCAATAGTTCTAAGTCATCAAATGTGTTTTTAAATGTTAGCTTCTCTCAATAAATTGAAACAATTCTCTGTTTGTATGCTTTAATTGGATAAAATGAATTCTCAGTTTCAATTTGTAATTATATACAAAACGCCAAATTATATACAGATAAACCTATTCTATGTTTGTTTGGAGATTGAGCAATCCCTGGAATTAAATGCTGGAAGCTATTCACTTGTTATCTGAGGAAGTTTTCTTTTATTGGTGGAACAAATCTGGACATAGTTAGCTTTGTTTCACAGAGCAAATTAAATAAAAGCTAGAGAAGATGTGTATTATCATGTTTTTTGCTTTTCAGTCATTCATATACATTTTTGAAATTAAAATTTCTGTAAATTTTGTTTACATAAAGTTGCATATTTGGTAATGTTAGTTTGATAAATATCTTTTGTAATTTATGAAGTAAAATAAAATATAATTTGATACAAAACTGGGGCTTTTTTTTGTACTTTAGTATCTCACAGTAGGATTGATTTTTAAAATGCTCAGCCTTGATCACACAAGAGTTTGTACATACTTCCATGTACTTGTACTTCGTATTTTTGAGAAAAATTTGTTTATATTTTGCAGTTCCCTCAACTTGGTATTGTCAGTTTAATTTTTTTTTTTTTAATAATCAGTATCAGTTGCCAGTCCTCAGCCTTACTGAAACAAGGCTTTTCCCTTTGAGCTTGTCACCTTGTAGGAAACATTACTGGCATTTTAGAACTTGGGATTTTTTTGTCAACTCTGTCCCAGCCAAAACCAGGACATCAGTCTAGCTTTAAAGAGAATTATGATGTTTCTATCACCACAAGCTTACTGCTTCACAGGATTTGTTGAGCCAGCTGAGAAACTAATTCTTCATTACCCCACCGGAAGTTTGGAAGGTGGGAGAATGATAGGACTGATGTACCTGTTCTTGCAGAAATCTGTCAGTCGTGACAGTTTTCACTAACTTCCAGTGCAATAATAATGTACTGGCATGGTGATGTAAATGTTGACTTTGTAACAGCATCCCTCTGGAAAATCAGAGTGGGTGGAAGAAATTTTTTTCACTGCAGTCTGAGCTATCCCAGCTTCTCTAATTGCTGCAAATGTGGCACAGAATAAGTGGAGATGAAAGAGCCTGTTCTCTATGGACAGTGTTTCCCAAAGAAAAAAAATAATTATTCTGTAAAGGTGCTTGAAAAGATTTCTACTTCTATTCTGCTCTCATATTTGCAAAAGGAAGTAATGTTTTGATGAAAAAAAGAAAATCCAGACTGTTGTAAAATTGATCAGATAATGTAGTAATGTAGAGAAGTTAGAGTGCTTGCATGTGTTATCCATCATAATGAAATACATTCTTCAATAGATTTTATACATCTTGCACTGTTAAAACAGAGACTTTGCATAAAATGATACCTACTAAAATTTGTGAAATACATTCAATAACGTGATGCTTAGAACTTGCCAAGAAGAACATGTACTAATTCCTGTCCACCTCCATTGTTACCTTAAGAGCAGCTCTCTCCATAGCAACTGAAAACTTTTCAAGGCAGCAATGAACTAATCCTCTCCAGCTTCCAGAGCACCATCGAGGAATTTTAAAAACATTGGACTTCCAGCAGCTAAATACTTCTGAGGATTCAGCGGCCACAAAGCTAGATACACAAGCATTCTTTTTCCCTTCAGAAGGTAAGAAAATAATGTTTAGAAATAAGTGCATCCTCGTAACGATTATGTATATTCCTAACTGCTAACACTAAAATATATCTAAATACCAAAAAATTTCCTAACATCTAAAAACATGCTAACTTTTATCTGAGTGAACACCAATTTGAATTCAGCAGTTTTTAAATACTTTGTTAGCAGAGTTTCCTCTAAAATAAGACACGCACGTATCAGATTGCAGTTAAAAGAAGTCGAATTTATGTGTGGCTGTTTAACACATGTTCATTATCATCTGAAAATGTATGTCACTGCCAGCATCTGCCCATCAATAAAATGAAAACCTCTTTGTGGAAAACAGAAGTGAAACTCTTTTATGTTTCTTGTGTTTTGATATTGAGATAGATTATTGTTAAACAGAGGTGATGGTATACTAGGAAGGATAGTGACAAGACAGATTTATAGTACAAAATGTCCTTTGCATCTAGAGTTAACAAGGTAAACTTGTTGCTTCTGGTGTGTTTGTCTTGTTTTTTCACTGAGTTCTATGAATAAAATTATGACCTCGTTTTGTAACTCTTTCATCTGATTATAAAATATCACTAGTTTTAAAGTGCATCCTGTTCATTCTTGGTTTGTGTTGTATAGCTGGAGTTCTGTAACATTGGTAAAGTGTTTTGGAAATAAAACCTGCTCTATATCACTGCTGTGTAACATAATTACTGCACATTCGTATCAGAATTAGACTAATAATGTTTACTTACAGCTATTTTTACTACTAAAAACCTGTTTCATAATGGATTGAAAGTGAAAGTTATGATATTTTCCTATTTTTATTGAAGAGGATTATTTGTGAATGCAATAATGTTAACACTGAAATGAAAACCATACACTTTACTTTTACGAGGAGGGAAGGGTCCTTTGAGTCAACCTCTTTCTGGTAATTCTGCAGAAGTTTTAAGGCCACAGTTGTCTTAGTTTCATGCTGTTCTGGGCTGTAAAGCCCTTACAGGCTCCCTGTTGTTCAAAAACAGCTTGTCACTGCAAATCAGCTTAGCCGACCAATTAATAAATCCTTTCAAACATATTGCATTCACACTAATTAAAGGGTTGGGGTTTTCTTCCCCTTTACCATTCAGATTCCTCAGGTTTCAAGTTTAAGCTGTGAAGTGCAAACAACAGTCCACCATTCAGTGCAGATCACGCACTACAAGAAGAGGAGATGTGTTTTCTGACCAAGCACCCAGCTCTTGGGATGGTATGTTCTGCTTTCATATTCAGCGTGCTCATTGCTGAAGGACAGCCAGGGGAAGAGCATGGGGAGGATGGCAGCTATGCTCCCAGCCGAGGCTATCTGATGGAAGTTTTACGCGTTCTTTCAGCTGGCAACACTGAGCTCCACATGAACCACTCACGGGAACTGGTCAAAATGTTACTGGAGAGAGCTGAGTGCCCACAGCGGATTTATGGCATGCAAGAGGATTGTAATCTGGTTAGTGCTTCAATTAATGAGGGATATCTTTACAGGATCGTCAGTGAGTTCTAAAATTATTTATTATAGTGATACTCTTCTGAATACAAAACTAAACATATAAAGGGCTTGTTGTTGTAGCAAAAAATTGCCCCTGCTTTAATATTTTAATTCTGAACTGTTTATCATTTGAGCTCATGAAGAGATACTCCAAACGTGACAGGCACACCTTAAAACTCCATGCTCCAGTCACATACCACTAATAATTTTCCTTTAAATGTTATAAAGTGTTTACTTTCTAACAAAGATTTTTCTACTTTTCCCTGATCTAACTATAAAAGCATGAGCTTGAATTTGGGACACAGAGGATTTCCACTGTGGAAAGACATAGGTAAAAACTGGGGACTAGTTCTGCCACTTTTTTTTTTTTCTTCTTGATTTTAGTTCATAAAAATGAAACCCAGACAGGATTGCCTCAGATTTATGTGCCACTTTGCTTAAAAGTTCAAGATTTAGGGGAGGGTTTTGGTAAGCAGTTTAAGTCAAGGAAAATCAAAGGCAGAATAATGAATCTATAAACCCACATTGAAACTGGAAATAGTCCAGGGTACAGCTTCACTGAAAGTTTGGTTGTCAAGTTGAGCTGAGAATATTTTCAGAACTAATTCTCGATTTGACAAAGAAAGGAACAAGTGTAATAATATCATAGGTTCTGGTAGGTTGGAGACAGTGGTAAGCGAGCAACTGAGCTGAAAGGGACTACAAAGGGCTTGGTCAGTCTTGCTTTGATTAGTGTTACTCTAGGTCTGGCATTGTTCAGTGACCTACGTACAGCAGAGTGTCACTTTATGTCAGAATTAGGAGGATGGTCATAAAGGTGAATTCTTTCACAATATACTATTATTGGCAATCTGCCAAGCCAATGACATGGAGATCTTCTCCTGTGCAGTTGACAACTATTCATGTAATTGGCCTTTTCTGCAAATGCTGCCATTTTTCATATGAGTCCCAATGTGAAATTTCATGCATAAATAATGTAGGTGCTTGTTATTCCCTAAATGAGAAATTTTTATGAAGAAGATAAGTGCAGCTTTTATCTTTGCACATATGAGTAATGGATATGTACCAGATATGGACCCAGATCAAAAGCTGAGAATTTATTAAACAGTAATGGTTATAGAATCTTCCTAAAGTTCACAGAACAGGGGTCTGGGCCTTCTTGTTCTCCCTCTTTGCTTTGCTTCTCTGGATTTCCGTATTTTTTTCTTGTATTTGTGACGTATTTGTGGAGAGCACGTCCACTGTGTCCTCGGATGGAAGCAATCTAAGTGAAACTTAGTGGGGTTTACTTTGGTCAGGACTTCCGCTCTGTTTAGGCTTCATCTTGGAAAGTTCTTGTGTGAAGAATTTGAGGACTTTCACCATTTCCAGTACTTCTCAGTGTTGGCTGTGTCGGTGACACTGCACACACCCTGCACTGGCAGTGCCACATGAACACAGCTGTCTATAGGCAATCCATGAGAGAAAGATGGCATCTTCAGTCACATGCAGCCCACATGGCACTGTGCTGAAATCTTCCAAGATGATTTAAGAGTATTTGGTAAACTAAGACAGCAAAAATTGTAGGAGAAGCACTGTCCTTCAAGATCGTTGAAATTTGAAACAGAATGCCCCACCTTGGCTTGGCACTTTCTTCCGATACTTGTTGGGAATAGCTAACTGATTTCAGACTCAACTTTCCCTTCTAAACACAGGACTCCAGACATACCACATGACTTTGTTTTAGGATTTGGTATTTTTTTAAATTTTTAATTATGTCTCCAGTGTGTATTTAAAAGCAGTGAGATGTAACACTTTTATAGACCCTTTCCATTGTTGTTGTTATGCATGGGCCCAAAGACTGTTTGTGCAAAGGCTGGCAGCTATTGAATGGCATCTGACACTTCTTTATCTCCTAAGCACACAAAAGTCATATATTTCTTGCAGTAGTAAGATGATTTTTTTCTAACTTCTGGCCTCCTAAACAAGGTTCAGTGCCCAGGTTCAAAGTTGTCCTCTTTTTTTTATAGCAAATAAGCATTTCTAAACCAAGGTCATGCAGATGATTATGCCTGTAAAATACTAGTAAACGCAAAATAACCAGTGGTGACCCAATTCATATCCTTTTGATATCTCCTCAAGGGTCACACTCTATGGGCTAACCCATATACTATGGAGTAGCTGCATCTTTTAGAACACACCTGCTTCCTTCCAATTTGCAATTTCCTTTTCAGTCATCTTCCTTGCAAGAGCAAACAATAGCCTCACTGGTTACAGTTTATCCTCACTGGGTTTTGAAATGATATAGAAGTCTTATTACTACTGAGTGTTTGAAAAGCCTGGTTGACTAACTTGAGGTCTTTTGGGACAGAAAACAGAATAACCATATTCCTCCTAGTCCAAATACTAACGGCCGGAGACATGCACTAGGAAAAGTTAGAATTGTAGATCTTGATAGACAATGTAGGCAGGGCACTGTGGATCATACTGCAATTTAGTTTGTTTATGAATATAGATATTTAATTTGGCAATTACCATCAACAGTTCTCTTTTTTTATGATTTAGTATTTGTGAGAATTTTTTTGTACAATTATTTCTATTTAAAAGTATCAGCTCTCTCAGTTCCTGCAAGAAACATTGGCTTCTGAACAGGACAATATGTGTTTGATTCTGTTTAGCTTCTGTGTAGGAAAATGAACAAACATACAAGGTGAGCCACACCGACCAACACATCATGCTTTTAGACACAAACGATTTAGTGTGACAAACTAGGTTGTGTCTGGATTAATTAATTTATTAGAGAGCAGTTTTGATCTTTCCATGGTACCTTCATGTGTTGTAGTTTCTTCTCTGAAATGTACATCCTGGCTGCTCTACCATAATATTTGAGATTAGCTGACATGCCTGTAACATGCTTGGAAAGGAGACAGATGGGAAAAAATAGCTGCAAAATGAATGACAATAGTTACAAGATCTCTTCAACACACATTCTTTATTCTGGAATTCAGTATCTTATTTCCCATAGCCTGACATAGAGCTCTGTTAGTATTCTGGTCTAATTTTAAAGACTAACTTTTGCTTGAGCTGGCAAAAGCTTCTGGAATGTGTCTTTGTATCAAGAAAAATGGAGAGGTTTATAAAAATATATGTATTTTAAAAGCTGTGCTCAGGCAGAAAGCCTGCACATGGAGAGTATACAATTTCAGTCCCTCTTGAAATTTATTTAGAGCACTAAGTGGTGTTGAGACCTTGTGCTGATCTCTGCACTGGACTAAATTGTTCCAGTTAGCAGAATTCATTGAGAAAAAATAAAAATAGCTGTATGATTGCGGGGTCAGTTAAGTCTCTTAACAGTGCATTGAATATAACTTCTCATTACATATCCTGAACTAACCACAGTCCAGATATGGTCTTTGTCTGATAAACACATATAGAAAGCAACGTTGAAAATGTTAATAGCCCTAGGCCTTATCTAATATATTTATAACCAGAAATATAACCTATTGAAGCCACTAGAAGACTTCCAGTGCTCTACAGTGATTGGTCAGAGTTAGTCCTGTTTTGTAGTAAATCTTAAATCCCTTGGGTACTTGACATTTATTAAAAACAGAAGGGGCTCTGGAAAAAAACATTGCATAGAACTGCAATGAATTACCTGCACCCTCCTCCTCCCATTCCATCAGCCTGCATCTGTGTAGGCTTGGGATTGATTCTTTAAATATAAGAGTTGAATTCTCCTGTTCTCTTCTCTAATTGTGTTTGCAGATGACTGGCAACGTGTTGCTTGAGTTGAATTTCCATTTATGTTTATTTTTTTCACAGTGCCTTGAACCAGATGCTTTGTTAATAATAGCCAGAGGAGATTTAGAAGACCATCTCAGCGAAGAAGTATTTGAGAGAATTTGTCTTATTCTTCTCTACTACATTCTTCATCATAAAGATGTGTGTTCTTCAGAACTCAGCTTGAATAATAAGGATTACAAATTTTACCTACAGAGTATGCTTAGTTTAAGACATGATGAAGACTGTTATTATTTTTCACGGAATGAAACTGAAGATATTTTGGCAGCAGTAAGGCAACATTTTAAAACTTCTGAAACACAGGTAAAGAAAACCTAAGTAAAAATAACTAGATATTTATTACTGATCTAATGCCTTTATGCTAGTTCAGACATTGTATCAGTATCACGGTCCTCCAGAAAACTGGTAAATAACGGTGTGAGAGCATAGGCTGAACATTGCTCTATCATTGTACATGCGGCTTAATACTTTCCTTATCCTTGACTTGCTTTTGGCCTGTGCTACCTAGCACTTCCACAGAGTCCACTGAGACATGGTTGGGGAGATGATAGTGCATATTAGGGACCATTTCCAACAGGTAATTTAGATACAGTTGTCCTGCTCAGGGCAGATGGAAAAGAGCATAACTGTAAAGATGCAAGATCTCACACTTGGCTTCGAGGACAGAAAATACTTTCTCTTCTCTTCCATTTATTAGTATAGATATACTAGTAGTGATTGTATTTAAATGGTATGAAGCAGAACAGCTCCAAAACTGATCTGGTTGTATAGCAGAAATGATGAATCATTTTGCTGTGATGAAATCCTTGACAGGCCTTGCACTTCCATGTCCATCCAAAGCAGGATGGAATAAGGAATCTGTGCAAAGATATGATGGTTTCCTTCAGTAGGGACACACATGTTTGTGACTAATTATCTACCAGCATAAATATTCCTTACAGAAAGAGTGATACAGATAAGCTTAAATTTAAAGCTGAAAAAAAAAATTTGTACAGAGTATATTCAGCCAAACCCATTCTTGTTAAGTCAGGAAACATGCAGTGAGTTTTCTCGCCACTGTTTATTATTCTGTATCTCAAGTAGGGTCTATGAAATATTAGAATAATATTCTAGAGGTCATAGTCTAAAGAAAAACTGTTTTCCTTGTAATGGGCAATAAAATAAGTTTTTGCCGGACTAGATAACTCCTGAAGTACAGGTTGACCTGCTGTGAGAAGACCCTTAGATCTGCTCATAACATAGTTAAATTTGGTTTATTGCAAAGTTTGAGTTTGCCCTTCTCTTTTTCATTTCATTAGATTTTAATTTACAGCATACAGTTGTAGGGCTTCCTACACAAGCAGAAGATGGCTAGGAGTCCTTCCTTGCTGTGCAGCAGAATGCTGAGGGCCTCCAGTTCCTCTTTCTGTGTTCTTTGTGTAATCATTTCCCATCATAAATTATTCATTGACCAGTACTTTTGGTTCTGAGTCTTGGTGAACGTGTCGATTTCCAAGAACTCCAATGGTATCTGGGCAACTGTAAAGAGGCATCGGTGGGTATTTGTCATGTCAAGACAGAATAACAATCCATAAAGTGCTTTACTGTGTGGTCTGTTTGTTTATGCTGGCAGTATAATAAATTGTCAAGCCTGTTCAGTGACTGAGACTTCACTGCTCACTGACATGAGGGAAAAGAGTGTTTTTTTTAATGAAAGGTACTCAAAATGTTACAGACTGTCTAATGCTCAGAATCACAACACTTGAGTTATGGAAAAGGGCCAATGGTGCAAGGTAGTAACAGAAGAACAGCATTTTTAGCGGCTCTTTATATGTTTTCGTTTCACAGAAAATATCCTCCTCTCAGTCATAGCAGATATTATTTTAAATGCGAGTGAAATTTTGAGTTGTGGAAATGTAAATGTGTGATGGATGGATGGGGAAAGAAATGCCAGCCTCCTCTCTGCAGTGTTTAAGGCATACATGTAGAGAGATGAGCACGCGTAAAATAAGTTATTACTGTAAAGGCTCATCTAGTTTTTCAGTTTAGTTAATCTGGGTTAGAGACAAATAAATAACTTTTGCCAATTTTTTTTTGTTTCTCTCATACCCCAACCACTTGCAGTGAAAATAAACAAGAAAGGCAGAAATGGAAGAAAACAGGGATAAGTTTCCAGGTAACTGAGAGACCTGTACCCTGCTCCCTCACTTCAGACCTGCACACATCCACGCACACAGGTGTACACAACTATTTACTGCTTGTGTTTGGTCACCCAGCAGGGAAGTGACCCTTTATGTGCAGAATTACATCTTTCCATATTGTCCCCAGACAAGTGGCCCATAACAAATTATTGATTCCATTTATTAGATAGGGAACCAAAAACATGAAGGGAATTTTTTCAGAAGTTTGAGATAAAGAGTTAAAGTCTGTATTATTTGAGCTGATTTATTGTGCCTTAACAAAAATTCCTTCCTTTTCTGCCACTTTATGGAAGGAGCTGTAGATGCAATTGAGGAGTACACAGGAATAATAGAAACAGCATGAAAATAACACTAAGCAAAAATAACCTGAATGAAGGACTATACTTCTTCCCCATCAGACACCGAGTAAAATTCTAGGTTTTTTGTATTCTATGCCTGTTCTCCTGAAAATGTCCTGTTTGACATTTGCTGTCCTGCTGTCAATTACAGCTTTAATCTTAGTATTTTTTTCTACCCTGGCCGTCTGCGAAAGTGTTCTCTCCTGTTTCTCTTCCTGTCACTCTGATTATTGAAATGGAGGTGACCAGGGCTGTCTTCATGCTGTTTCCTCCTGATTTCAGTGTGTTGATGTGAGCACTCTGGAGAAAAATGCTGATATAATGGACAGAGATGGTGCTGATGAAAACAGTCTTCCACGCCTGGCTGCTTTAATCATTACTCTGGCTCTTCAGGGAGTCTGTATGGGGAAAGCAAATTTGCCCTCCCCAGAATTCTTTGTAAAATATATTTTCAATTCTCTAAACAGTACTACTGAGCTCCAAGTGACAGGTAAGCTGTTTATTCATCTCTAGTTGCCTTTTGCAACTTGATGTAAACTATCTTTTAATGCCTAAAGGACTTTTTGCACTTCATTTTAGATTTAAATGCCATTTCATTTCAGAGCTGTTAAGTAGTCTCTTCTAAATTTAAAATTAAAAACAACTTTGGAAAATAAGCTCCTTATTTTGGTAATTCTCTGAGAGGTATAAAACAAATTACTACTGTGATTATTAAACGTGTACTGTCACTTTAAATTATTACTTAATTGCTCCACACAGTCTGAACTACCCAAGAGAGCTCTGAGAGTGACAGTCTAGCTGTGAGGGCAGAGTTCGCTAGGGCATCATTTACATTGCTTCTTTATGCAGATCTTGATACATTGCAAGACTTGTTTAGGGGTAGATGGGATAATTCATGTACAGTAGCCAGATGAGACATGTTACTCACTCACACCTCAGTGTAGACATGCCCCCATAAGAGATGACATAGACACAGGCCACTCTGTTTTGACCAAATGCTCTCTGATATCTGCCTAATGTACCTGAAAACATATTTATGGTTTCTGCTTCCCCACCCACCTTTTGATCTTGGTACCCAGTCAGTGAGCCTCAAACATGCAAAGTTCATTTTCTTCCAGAGCTCTATTGCTAGATGTATCAGAAATGCTACTTAACCATAAATAAACAGAGGTATAATAAAGTTCTAAGTGGTCCAAAAAAAGAAAATGCAGGTGTTTAACTCTCAGCAGCTGCTACTGAGATTCTTCATGCTTAGCAGTTTAAGAAGCTAAACCATCAAGGTTTAGAAGGTTATTATAAGACATCTACTTTTCCTTCTTTGTGGTGACTGCTAATAGCAACACTTTATAAGCTTTTCAAAGCACTTTTAAAAAGTTACATTACGTATGGGTTAAAATTACTTTAAAAGTTGAATTAAGCATAACTAAAAACGTTTTTACCACTCTTAGGTTACCCAGAGGTACAATGAATCACAGAATTAAATAATTAAAAAAAGAACAAAATCCTCAGCCCTAACTTGGACTTGTAGATTGTACTTGCATAAACTAGTTTTTGCAGCAAAGCCTTTCCTTTAAATTTGCCAAACCAGATCTTCTGAAATAATTGACTCACAAGAATGCATGGAGCCATCTGGGCACAGTGTTTGCTGCTAAATAGCTATATATGGTGAAATCCAGGCCCCAGTGAAGACAGTAGCAAGACTTTATGGTTGGTGGAGTTAGGGTGTCATTCAGAGAAACAAAAAAAATTCTTTACTGGTTTGTTAGAGTGTAAGTATATTTTAAGCTGAAGATAATTAAATTGTCCCTTTAAATTTATTTTAATCCTTAATAGTAATTGAAGAAAATAGTAAGGAACTGGCAACATGCAAAAAGAAGAAAACTAGGGTTGTCTACATTTAGAAAATAAATTTAGCTTCAGCTCTTCTCAGATCTGTTTGCTCAAGACAAAGAAAGTAGAAAAACATCACAAACCTTTTTGTAAGATTTGCAAGGAAGATTATACCTTTTTTTTCTTCTGAAAAACATTTTTAAAAAAAGGATTATCACATGGAAACATTCTTAATCTCGTTGAACTAAATTCCTTTGAACTTAATTTGAGGATTGCCTTTGTTTCCTATGTACAGACTCAGGTTTACTGAAACTATCACTGTGGCTTTGTCTTGAAAATGCAGGAGTGAAGGACGGTGATAAGATAGATCATATAATCAAGCATTTCATCAGCAGGCACACCCATTGCACTCACATTATGTCATGGGATACATCCCTGCGTTGTCTCAGGTTTGGATTAGAGGTTCTGGCTTCCCTCCTTCCTACTTCAGTGCTGTAGAGAGGCCTGCTTCCAGACTGGCAACTTGACCAAAGGAGAGAGAAAATCTGTTGCTGGGTGTTCCACTTCTGAAGTGCAAAGGGCAGCATAGCATCCTGAAGGTTGCTTTCAGGACACACTGTAAAGAATCTGTCTTCCTCATCTTTCTGGACTATCCAAATACTTGGCCATGGCATTTTAGCATGGTGCTCCATTTACACAGGAAAATTAGAAGAACGATGAAGCTATTCAGCAGAGATTTGTGGAGAACTTTTGCAGAGAACGATGATTAAACAGCAGATGAATTGCCTTTCAGTCACATCTGTTTTCCTCCAAGACAGTCACAGGCAAAACATCTGAGTGTGGTGCTGTAAAGAAGGAAAGACTGAGTATATGGGTGCCTTGAACGTTTAGAGGTGTTAAGTGGAAATTACCTAGAGTACCAAACTGAGGAGAGAAAAAAGTATTAAAGTGAAGAGTTGAATTAATGTTAAAACTAACAAAATTTTAACAGTTACTTTTGGTTTTATCTTTTTAAATGTGTGTTTTTCCCATGGTAATATGTCTGTTTTCTAATGAATTACTAGAACTAGAACAACTACTAAGCGTGCTTACAGCCAAAAAGACCTGCACTCTTAATGGACAATTCCACAGTCAAAAAGGAAGACGTTACAGTATGGCAATCAAAGATATTGGAAATAGAAATATTCCAGTCAAAGGAAACCAGACAAAACGAGATGTTCTGAAAGGTTATTTTGAAGATCATGAAAGGAACACAGATTGGGACCAGGTTAATTTATTTTTATGTTATTATAGTATTGGTCACAGAATTTCAGTTATAAAAGTTCAAATTGGTTTGCAAACACTACATTATGTCTGAGGTAAAATTTATTAATTTCAAAAAGTCATGCATATACTGGCAAAATATATTTTTACCTATTTATGTTTGATTAAATATTAATTGGGGGAAGAACTTTATGGATGTTGAATGCATGATTAAAATAGCTGGAGAGGCTAAGGGGCTAACAGAATGGTTAGTGTTATGCAGAGTCAGGTGTTTCTTCAAGACACAGAGGACTATAGTACCATGGCTTCAATGTTTTCACATATTTATTAGGGATTTCTTGTGCTCTTATGTCACAGAGCTTCTAGGGCCCCTTAAGTGACCTTGTTAAAAGAAGTGTTGTTCTGTACTAAGCAAAAAAAGTAAAGTAAGCTTGTAAGTTGTTTTTAAAGGGCTTCCATAAACTGAAGATTGGGCATTTCCAAACACTTTTAATAGCCATCTGTGGAGTCCAGAAGCCTTCTTTAGAAAGCAGAGAGTAAGAGAGAGCTTTAGCTACTACCCAGTACACTCTTTGAGGGCTTTGAAGGATGGTGGTTCATTGCAGCTGATTTTATCCTTATCCTAAATATCTCAAAATAAATTAATTTTGTTTATAACAATGATTAAGATGGTAACTGACTTCCATCCTTTAGATTGGAAAACATTCCTTAGGAAAAAAAAAAAAAAAGAGACTTCAAAGATATATTTTGATGTATATATTTGAAATATTTACTTCAAATAATATGTTTCTGTTGTTTTCAGTTCTTTACAATTAAAGTTAATTCAAAGACAATGGTTCTTCTCCATTTAGGAGAATAAGAGACTTTTGCTATGGGATCATTTTATGATGTGGAACTGAGACAAATGGCATCTGGTTAAATGCCATTCTGATAGATATTTATCTGTGTAATTTTATTGCATTTGGAATACATACTCTATAAATATGTTTATTTCTTTCCAGCTGACCACAAAAAAAGAATCATGCTGATCAGCATGATGAGGTATTTAATAAGGTCTCAAAATAATTTTAAATGAAGGTCATTTTAAATGTGTTTCATATTAATTTTAAATTATGAAGGACAGAAATCAGTAGTGATGTTATCTGTACAAGAAGTAAAAATGTTCTCCAGCAATAGAATTTATAAAACACAGTTTTTGATTTCTAGAACTTCTGAGACTGACTGTAACTCAAAAGATAAGTGTGCAAGGGGGTTCCATGAGGCTTGGGAGTCAAACTGAGGGTGAAATATTCTGTATAGATGAAAAAAATCACAAAGAAACATCTGGAGAGAAGAAAATTTATCTTCTGTATTAATTCCTGAGATATTGGTTTTATTCCATTCCTCATCTTTCTAGCTATGTGTGTTTTCTCTGACATATCATTCCATTAGGATGCTTTGTGTTTCAGCGTTGTGTTGCTAATTTTGTCTTCTGCTTTCTGCACATACCTGTGGTAGGCGTTGTGCTCCATTAGTAACAGACACTGCTACATATGAGGCATTGACTCATTTATGGCTTGTGTTTCTAACTACATTAAGATCTGTAATTTGATTTTTAGATAGGATTTATATTTTGAAACATTGCCTCAGAAAAAAGGTCACTGACTTCTTTTTAAGTCATTATTGTCTCTACTGACTTAAAAGTGCATATAAAACAAGTAAGTAGTAGATGATCTAATAGGAGCAATAATATTAGGTTCCATTAAACTGTGTCACAATATTGATGTATTCATTTATTATTCCTTATTAAAGAAACATGGATTTTGGAAAACAAAATCACCTATCCATCCATGCATCCAGTTTTTCATATGAGAATATGCAAATTCCATTTCCTTGTTTCTTCAGTATCATCTTCCAGGAGTACACACATAGTTGCTTTACTAGTGGAGACTTAGTACTCTGCCTCCCTATGCTAAAAAAGCTTAAAAGGCTAGGGCTTGCAACTTGAAAAGATGCACGTCCTCATGCCTCAAGACTTGCAAGAACATTTTACCAAGTAAGCATTAAGAATAATTTTTTTTATGTGTGGGTGGACGGTTTATTTTCTATATGAGATCTTGCTTTTTCATTTAAAATTCCTGATAACAAAACCACATTAAAATTTAGGTTCATAGTAATCCCAGACCTCATCTAGTCTATCCTACTTCTGAAAACAGCGCCAACATCAGAGTCACATCAAGTTGCACATCATGTGCTGCAGTTCCCTAGCCATCTTGGTGGACCTTCATTGGACTTCCCTCAATTTTACAATGTCTTTCTTGTACTGCTGGTTATTAAACTGTACATAGTCCAGATGTAGACTCATCTGTCCTGTGTGGAGGGCAATGCATCTTTTTCCACTACCTGTTGGCTATGCTCTTGCTGATGCAGCCCGGTATGCAGTTAGCCTTTATTGCCACAAGGGCACACTGGTGACTCATGTTCAAGTTGTCTGTCAGGACCCCAAGGGCTTTCCTGTAAAGCTACCTTCCAGTCAGTTTTTCCCAACCTTTATCGATGCATGGAGTTGTTCTGTTTGAAGTACAATAAATTTGTCTTTGCTGATCTTCATGAAGGTCTTGTCAGCCCATTTCCTTGGCTTGTCAAGATACCTTTAAATAGCAGCCACACATGTCAGCATATTGACTACTTGTCCCAGTTGGATTTCATCTGTGAATGTGATATGGTGCACTCTGGTCCATCACTCAGGTCATTGGTGAAGGCATTAAATAATATCAGCCCCTGTGCCGACCAGTGAGGAATGCTGCTTACAACCAGCCACAAGCTAGATTTCCAACTTGATACCACTTGTTGGTGTTCCCTACTTCTGAAGTCAAAACCACTATCTAGAACAGAAAAACTGAAGATCTTTTCTAATGTGGTAGACCCTGAATTGTCTTCATGCTCTGCTTCTGCTTTGAGGCAGAACAGACTTGATCCAGGTGGCAAGATCACCAGTTATCCTGAAGACTTGAATGGGATATTCAGAGTAAATGCATCAGTGCTCGATTCATTCAGTTTCTTAGTGAGCTACAAGGCATATTTTACTTTACCAATGGATGAACAAAAGCAGGAAAGTGGGTTTTAATTGGGTTATATAAAAGTAATGATAATTACAACTCTTTTATTTAAATAGTAATTTTCTTTCAAAAGAAACCTAAGTTTCAGTGATTAGAAAAATCATATTTTGGAATCCCTTGATTCTCAGATGCAGACTAATTTAAATGAAGGAAACAAATATTTTTTTATTGAATCACAGCTAATCAGATGAGATTAAGAGTTTAATATTATTCCTTTAAGTAAGACAGCATATATGATCTGGACTTCTTTTTAAAAGTTCTTATATAAATTGCCACTAAAACTGTTCTAATGCTAACTGCTCATGCTTTTACCAGAAGTGTCATCCTGGAGATGAAAAACTAATTCTTCATGAAAATTTTTTTCATGCAACATCTAGTTTGCTGACCTTAGAGTGACATACCATTGTTAAAAGATTTTTAAAAAACAACTTTGTTCCATATGTTACTACAGATGCCACACAAGGACAAATTTCAGTACTGTCTTGATATAGGCAGTATCTTACATTAGTAGCAATATTATTGCTATTAATGCAGTCTTACATTGATAGCTAAGAATATAGTTTGTGTTAGCATTGCAATATTTTGTGTTAGCATTGCAACATGTGCAACATGTTCAGTAACTGTATATACTTTTCTACATAGGTTTGTTTCTCTGCTAATGAACTTGTGAAGATATTTTTAAAAAATAGTTCTTCCTCCATTTCTAAGGACCACTTCAAGCAAATCAGTCCAGCTATCATTCAGCAACTACTAAGTTGTTCATGTCAGCTTCCTGACTCCAAGCAGACAAAGCGTCTACCAACAGCTTCGGAAAGTGAGATATGTTGTTATTGGTAAAGTATTGTGAAAATTCAGATAAATTCAGATAATTCAGATAAATGTCTGGAGACATTTCATTCACTAATAAACCAAAACATGATGAGATTTATGCACTCTAATTTCATAGCACACGTCAGATAATAATAGTAGGCAACTCAGTGGTCTCAATTTTATATTAGACAGAATTCTGTTTCAATGTGTAAGGTTTTAAGCTTTATTTTCTTCATTTCTTGGAGGACTGCTTGATGTAGGCAGCAGGTGGGCCATGACAGGTCCTTATCAGTGGGTTGCTGGACAGTAAGGACCTATTTTGTGAAATTTCCACCAGGTTTTACTGGAATCATTACATTGCTCTGACATAAATGTTCAGGGTTATGTTAGCTGGCATTTTATACCATAGTGTAGCAAATGCTTGATATAGATAAGTTCTTATGTGAATGTTGCTGTTTTTTCATGTTATGATATTTTACAGCAGAGAAGCTTTGGGAATACTACTGTGGGAAGAAAAGCAACCAAAAAAAAAGTTACATGGGTAGCAGGACTTGTGTGATAGAGCTGGAAACTGAATTAATCAGACTGTTTCCAGTTGCGGTTGTAGCCCTCACTTGCCACTGCTTCCAGGGATTTCTGCCCGATCTGTTCCACTGATTCAGCTTCTCCTCTAAATGATCTCTAGTCCATCCTATAGAAAAAAAACCTGAATCTGATCTGATCTAAGGGCTTCTTAATGTGTTTCCTGGTTTTGTTTTTACTTTAAACCAGTGATAGCTGGGAAGTGGTTACAAACATAGGTATGTTGATGTATTACAGAGAGCTCTAACTTCTGGTGGGGAATTTGGGAGCTGGAAATGAGCAAAAAGGAACGGGCATCTAACCATAATCACCTGCATCTATGGCAGCACTTTTAGGCTATAAATCAATGCCTTCAATACCTTTATCTTAATATCTATGTGGCCAGCTCTAGATTACCACATATTTTAGGAACTAGTAAGCTTTCCCCCCATCCTGTGGGTCAACAATCCTTATGGAACAGCACTTTCCATCTCTAAGTTCTGCCTGTACTTTAAGCTACACACATTAAGCAGCTGATGGGAATGAGTTGAGTTATCATCCCATGGTGTACAGATTAATTGAACTATAGGTGTGAATTAAAAAAAACATATTATCTAAGGGCATGGAAGGACACTCGTAGATATTCCACAAATGGTTATAGGAGAAAGAAACATACAGAACAGGAGGAATCATTATCAGAATAGGAGGAATCATTATATCTCCCCAGAAGGCAGCTGTCCTTCTTTCTTACGTTATCTCTCATCTCATCTCTCTTGCTTTTATCTTTTCTATGCTACAGGGATATGCCCATTTTCATATGTGGAATCAAGGGACAAAGAAAGGGAACTTACCCATGTCACATAGAAGGTTCATGGCAAATTCACAGTTGAGTAAGATTCTCCCAGGTCTAAGACCATCAACCCTATCAATGACATTTTAGTGATCTCATAATGGTGAAAGATCTGTGTAGAGGAGAAAGCTGAACTATTCAGACACAGAATGGAACTAGTAAGAGCCATTTCTATAGCCCTTTCTCTGTGCTTTTTGCAAAGGGAGGTTTCCATGACCACAGGGACACTTCTGCTGGCTTGAGACAGAGAAAGGACTTCATGTTTGACCTATGTGTGACCTAGTGACCTGAGCGTGGGCTCATTAATTTTATTCTCAGTTTTATTTTGCTGACAGGCTGTACTGTTTTGGCCAAGTCACCAAGGCCTGACCTTCCATAAGTATCTACTATACCCTTGTGTTTGGATGTGCAGTCTATGAAATTTACTGTCTGATTTTATGAGGTGCTGAGCACTTGCAGAGCTATTAAAATATGAAACATTAAGTGACACTTTTGAATATTTTGGCATTAGTTCCTCTATGTCTGTTTCTCATCAGCATTTTACCTCCATCGTAAGACTTTCATACAGATTAATCAGGATTCATGTTGTGCAAAAGGTTGGAAATGTGAGCAGCATGTAACTCTGAAGAATTATGTGTAACCTTCCAAAAACACCAGTAACCAGGGAGAAATAGGTTGGTGGTCCTGATGCAGTAACTAAAAGACTGTATGTCCACAGCACATTTAAAAACATAATTTGGACCAAAAAGTGTATGCCTAGAACCTAAATTAGATGCCTACATTCATCTGAGGTTTTAGGTCTTGGTTTGTTTACTGAACATGATTTTGTTAATAATGTGGTGTTGACAGCAAAGATACAGAGGTGTGGCATGTGAGGACATAGAATAGCTTAAATCTGTTAAGAGAGGAAACAAATGCAGGCAAGCATTCGCTGTGCTGCTCTGAGTGTCTCTAATCTGCACAGTCACTGTCTATTTAGCTTTTTAAGGTCTGAAATTTGCAAGCACTTAACTGTATTGTCTGTAAAGACTGAAAAAATGAATGTTTTTCAGGCTTAAAATTCTGTCATCTATATCACACACGACTAGAAAAATCTATGTGGCACAATGAATCACTTCTGCTCTGTGTGCTTGTACACAGTGGTGGCAAAACATAGCCTCGAAAAAAAAACAACCCACAAAGCCAAAAAAACCCAAATGCTGAAACACAAATACGAATACTGGATGATTAAAAGTGCCCTTGTTTTGTTTCATTTGTTTTTCCCTACAGAATATGGTTACAGCACTGTTGCTGTTTTACTCATTACTATTGGATCTATGTTTGGCACAACCCTCATTTTATTTAACTCTTGTCAAGAAACCTATAAACTCATTTTACAGCTGTTTGTTGGTTTGGCTGTTGGGACCCTTTCTGGAGATGCATTGCTACACCTCATTCCTCAGGTAGGTAACACACACTTTTGTGTTTTTAAAACACAATAAAATGGGTGCTATGATTTTTTCCTAAATTAATAAAATACATTTTAAGAATAGCATAGCATGTAAAACAGAACTAAATTTTCCATTATGTATTCATTTATTTTTGTCCGAGTCTCATCTGATGTAACTGTTATGAGTAGACTTCAGCTGGTCATTGAAAGAGAGCTTCACACCTTCACTTGAGATTCTTGTCAAAATGTTCTTTGTACTCAACACATCATCTCTGGAAGCAGAACTGGGAGGGTGGTTTAAGGAAGACAATTTTCAGTGAATGTGGAACAAATGTATTTCTTTAAGAAACACCTCTAGAGTGTGAAAGTATTCTGCTTCACCAGTTTTAAGTGACATATCCAGTAGCCTTTAAAGTGCCCTCTTTCAGAACAAAGGAGGGTTACCATCCTGTGCCACTGGGGAAAAAATGGAAGCACACCAGCAGAAAGCTTCATGAATTATTTTCAATATGGAGTTTACATCTGAAGATGATGCAAGTAGCTCTTTAGACTTTAAAGATCTATATACTCCAAAAAAATATACTAAATATGTATATATAAAGGCAATTTCACAAAAATTTTCTCTAAAAATGTTACTTTCAAAATTGAGAGACGATGTATATATAGCAGAGGCTCTTAATATTTCATTTAATCCATCTACTATTCAGCTGACTAGCTCAAAACACTATTTAAATTTGAAAGAGATGGCAAAAGAAAATGTTGAGAATAAATTGAATGAGCACAATATGAATTACTCTCGCAAAAATTAACATTGCCATTTTAAATCTTTTCACTTTATTTTTTAGACTCTTGGTTTACATAAACATGAAGCACAAGATGTAGAGCATTTCTATGAGGGGAAAGAATATATTTGGAAACTTCTAGGAATAATTGGAGGAATTCATGGATTTTTTCTGATAGAAAAGTGTTTCTTTCTTTTGGTAACACCATGTGACCAGGTAAAGTTTTGTACAATTTATATTTTAAAATATCTCTTTTATTTGGAGATTTTACTGTGCACAAAATGTTAAAATGATTGTGGAAGATATTTAACATTTGTATGAGTTAAATGAAGCATTAAAAATTGCTTTCCAAAGTGCTCCTACTAGATTGACCTTCATTTTCTAGTTTGCTTTGTTCTATGCATTTTGTTTGCTTCATGAATGTGTCCCATATAACTCAAGAAGGAAACAGTTAAATGAATGTTTTCCATAAGCATGCGTTCATGACTAGCAGGTGAAGAGCATGGATTCATATGAAATAACAATGACACTTGTTTATTCTAGGCTCTATTTGAAGAGGAATAAGACATAGATGTAAGCCCAATATATTTTAAAGAATGACATCATAAAATTTCCAAATTTTTTGGGCCCCTATCCCAATAGATTTGAAAATCGAATATGTATGTTGTGGTCAGTAGAACCCCACCTTATGTTAATAATATCTCCTTGCTCACTACCATGCTTATAGTAATTCTATTACTCTATTGCATTGTGGCTGGTGCCTGAAAATATGATTACGCACAAGGAATAATGTAATACCAAGTGTGATGTCTCATTAAGTTTCTCAGCATGGAAGGTTATCTTAAAGCCACTTAAGAAGTCTAAGCCTTTGCTTGTTCTGTTTTACAGAGTGTTTAATGACTGGCCTGATTTAGATGCTTAGCAGTGAGTCTCTATTCCCACTATCTTTGAGTCAGCCATAAGAATATAATGTGGGATTATTAGAATGAGAATATTTTTATAATGGTGTTAATTTTGTTTGTTTGCCTTTTTTTTTTTTTTTTGAAAAAAGCAGTCCATTTTGTTACTTATTTGGAGAAAACGGCTTTATCATCCTTCCACAAATTTTTAAACTTGTTCTACTGAGAACAAGATGAATTCTCAAAGTTAATTTTTATATCCACCTCAGTTTCAAATTTTAATCTTCAGTTTTAAAACAAAAAAAGTTTTATCAAAGGTTTATCACTGTCACTGATTTATCTGATTAACTTTTCAGGTTTTTTTTTAACAAAATAAGCATTCGGAAATGTTTGTGTCAACCAACAATCTTTTTAAATAATTCTGTTTTGAAAAAAAAATAATTCTTGTAAATGCTAAACATTCACAAAAGGCTGAGAAAGACTGCATCTGTGTTTATTAGGTTTTAGAACTAATTGCAAAGCATCTTCATTCAGCAGGGTCTTTCTTTAGTTAATGGGCACTGGGGACATTCCCATGATCTTCCAGTGGAACCTGAATTAAATGAACATTCAGGCAGAGGCAAATCTACTTCAACCATACAGTTGGTAGGTTACCAATATGACATACTTCCCTAATTTTATATCCTTCTTTCTCTGTTCCTCAAAAAATTACCCAAATTAATGTAATAAATCAGTATTATTTTTCAGTCTTTATTGATTTTTCCTTTATTACATTACATGATTTCAGGAATCTCTAGATTTTGAAGTTTACAATGAGCTTTAACAGAGATTTTGAACACAGATTTTTACAATAACTTTCCTGTGTGTATCAGATTGGTTTAACAATGCTCTTCCTGTACTATATTTGGTTGATAAAATTCTTGAAGATTTTCCTCCTCCCTTCTTTTTAAAAATATGTCATATGTAAGGGCAGACTGTCCCATGGGAAAAACTTTAGGATTTTCTGCAGTGAGAGTTGCATAATTAGTGAACAGATTAAATCCTGGACAGTTCTTGGGCATTTTTCCACAGATTTGAAGAGTAACATAAACAACCTGGATATCTGGGAGCAGTGCTTTCCTATAAGAAATTACATAAATTTCTGTTGGTCTGTGAAGAGTATCCAGACAGATATATATTTGCAAACTAATTGACTCACACCTTTTAATGTTTTCTCTTTTTGCAACAAATCTCTTCAGCTTATATGTAGTACCTAAAGGCATAGGTTCCTGGATATTTAAATCAGGATCTCCATAAATATTCAGCAATGTGAACTCTATTTTACTAAAGCAGTTGTGATGGGTAAGAGCCTCATGAACCACTGCTAATCTCTCAGATGCAGTCGGGAAACTCTCAATTGAATGCAGAGCAAGCAGATGAGTGAAGAATGATTACTAATTTGTGACCCACATGGTAGCTTCCTGTTTATGGTAATGAATGAGCTCATCATTCCTCTGAGATGCAAGATGCCCCTGCAGTTATGTATAGATCACATGAACTAGCTTGGCTTAACTAGTTTGTACAAGAGCAGCCAATTTTTCATGATCATGTGAGTTATAGTAAGACAAACACTGGTTGACTAAGAAAAGCTTATAAATCCTTCAGGTCAGTGATTAGTCTTGCAGTTTTGACTCAGAGTTCAAAGAAGTGGCATGTGAATAAATATTATAAGAGAAGTGGAACAATTACTGGAATTCATATGACTGGCTGCAATCATGGGAATTAAAGACTTTTCCTTTAAAATGTAGAATTTAAAACCCAAATCCTTTTCTTTCCCTCCTCACGCTTCTACAGCACATATCCCACATCACAACCTAGCTAATACCAGCCAAGAAACATATCCTGTTTTGCAGTCAGTACATATCTCTGCTCTAGTTTTCGGAGTGGTGGCTGCTGTCCCTAACAAAGGACTCTCTCGTGCTGCTGTTGACTCTTCACTGGCTGCCATAATAAATTTAATATGGGTTTTTTGGGAAAAAAAAATATAGTGATTATAAATTCAGTTTTTCTAGTTTCAGTCAAACAATTTTTTTGGCTTATCTCACCCTCGCACAGATTTCTAATAATGTCTCTAGTCAGAAAGAAAAGCCCCAGGGAGGTAGGGGGAGAGAAAGTTTCCTCGTGTTCTTTCTTCTCTCCCCAGAGTTGCAGTTTCTGTTAATTAAACATTAGGGCTGATGCATCTCATTAACTCTCTAGGATAAGGACAAAGATACTGTCTCTTTCTTCACTTGAAATAAGGGTACATTTCACTCATTGCAGGGGAGTTTAATCATGTGCTGCTCTGCCCAGCCAGTGGTGCCTGATGCCGAGACAAAGCCCTAACTAACAGCCAAGAGGCAAGGCACTGGAAGCTGTATGACCCTGGAGAAAAAAACTATATTTTGAAAGGGTGTGAAACCTACCTATGAACATCTTTTTTAGTCTTGTGTTTTCACAGAGTAACTGTGAAGAACATGAACTCCAAAGAAACTCTAGTGTCTATCCATTTTTCCTTGAAAATCCTATAGACACCCTATCCAGCAGGAAACTACAATCATGTGGCCATGACAAAATCAAAAGATACAATTTGAATTATTATGTCCTTTTTAGTTCTGCATTTGGCTCAGATTTTTGTGCATTCAAGCAGGAACATGATTTTCTTGGGTTACAACAGTGCTTATGAATGTCTGTCTTCCCACCTGAATTAGACTGTAACCTTCTCTGGGCAAGGGAGATTTCTTATGTGTTTCTGCAGTAACAGTCACACTGCCAGTGTTCAATAAATTATTCTAATGATGTCTATGCAAATAACAGCAACTATCTTTAATTCAAAAAGCTTGAACTTGTTTGCTATTTTCCTGTGTTCGTAGCAGCAGCTGGAAGAGCCCCTTAACACTGATCTGTTATCTTTACTTTTAATTAGAGAAGCCCAGAAGATTCTGAGTCTGCTGAAGTTCCTCCAGAGAGTAAGGCGATCAGCAAAAAAAGTTAGTATCAATCCAAAGACTAGACAAGCAACAGGAAAAGCCTTAAGACTTAAGATGGAATTGAAAGTGTGAAGCTGGCTTAGCTCTGGGTTTGCTATGTGCTACCTCACCATATCTGATGGTGCTTGGCTACATAACCAAATATCTTATTAAAGACCTTTTCATCTGCCAACCCCGTAATTGTAAAGTTCATTAATCTTATACTGTCCATGCTTTAGTGCTTGTTTACTCACTGCTGCAAACTATTTTTCTAAAGCCTTTGCTTAAAGAGACACATTCAAAATTTAATATAAAACAGATTTTTATAATTGTAAACTTTGCTCAGGCTTTTATTTCTGAAAGTAGTGAAATGATTGGGTTTTTGGCTCGCTATACTAATACAATTCTGCTTTCTTCTTCTCTTATATGGTAAAGCAATAGCCTCTTTAAACCAGTAATGATTTATTACATGTGTGGAATTATGGACTCACGATGGCTCTCAGTTTTAGGATAATCTGTTTTCTTCAGAGAGCTTCAAAGTAATTCTTATCTTCTCTGATTTGTTGCTGCTTACACCAAAAAATGAGAAAATAGAGCATAAACCAAACTCTGCCTTTGACTGTACTTGTGTGACCTTGGTGAATGTAGTAGAGTTCTAGTCATTAAAAAAAATTTTAACTGAAATTAGTTTATTTACTATAATCAACTCCCCTTTATTTGGTGATCTCAGATCTCAGGTCATCAGTTTGATTTATTTAACAATGTCATTATCTTCTTCTAGGTTTCTGATATTCTTCTCCGTTCTTGTGAACTTCATTTCTATTTTTGAGGAATTTGAAATCTGGACTTTAATTTCTTCAGTCTCAGCAGTACAAAATCCAGTGCAAGTTTCAGTGTGACTATCTAGTACATCTCTATACGTTTCCATTCTGGTCAATCATCACTACCTGCTAAGCACTAAAAAATTTCTAGTAATCTCAATGCTATCTGTTCCATATAAATAAATTTGGTCTATAACTAAATTTGGGATAGTTTCTCAGTAAAATTCTTTGTTTGGTTCCATTTTTTCCTCATAGCTCAGTTTTACCTCTATATTAGAAATTGTAAGTGAAACCATAGTAGGGAAGGGGGGTTATTTTGTTTTAGGATTTTTTTTGAGAATACATATTTTCAAAAGTTTGTGTTGTTTCAGTTCTTATTGAACAGGTAAATGCATAAGATGTCTCACTGGCCCTTTCCTTCTCATTTATCCACACTTGTTCTATCAATATCTGAAAAGATGAAAGAGTAGCATTTTATATTTGGTATACTCAGTGAGATGTTACATTAACTAGAAATAGTTTTGCTGTTTGAGTAATGAAAACATTGGGGGAAAGATCTATTTGTGGATAAACTTTTGCTTTAAACTCTTATTCAAAGCTTAAAATGCATAATCTATGGTGGGAGTCCTGCACCCATTAGCTTTATGAAAATTATGGAATGAAATTTGCTGTGAGTTCTGGTCCCCTATTTAAGCAGAGAAAGTTATCAAAAATAAGTGTAGAAGATTAAATTTGTAGAAAATAGAAATAGAAAAAGCCTACTTTTTTCTAGTGCTTTGTAGAAATAGTTAGGGTAGTAAGTTAATATTTACTGCTGCAGCAATATAATGCAGAGAGATAATTGCCAGTAACAAAGTTGCTGTAAAATAGGCTGAAAATAAATTTGGAAAAACATTCAGATTTGTTCACATATGCGTCTTAACTTTCAGTCAAGTAAGTTCATAAAGCTTACATTTGCAATTGCTCCATAATGTTAACCTGATCCCTATGTTATACTATAGACAGCATGCTGGACTGAGTTCCAGTAATTATGGTACATCTTCTTCAACAATCAGATACTTGAATAAAACAGACTAATAATATCTCTGGGCAAGCCATGGTTTTGTCCTCACCAGTGCTTATTACAAATCACAAACCTAGCGTAGTGCAGCAATCTATTATTTCTGTGTAACTCATGCCCTGCTCTATTGATTATAAACTGCCCGTGGTGTTTAGAAAGAACGGTGCAAACTGGGGACATCCACGTCTGGCTCTGTAAGCTAGCAGGAAAATATAACAAGCCTGCCAATTTTTCTGAACCCACAGAGCTCCCAGGCAACTGCGGAGGAATTTCTGAATACAGTTGTTAGGCTTTTATGTGCTGTGTGTTTTTTTCTAATAGTCTGAAGACTTCAGTTCTAGCCAGTTTCTGTAAGAAAAACATCTCCCCCATCGCTATAAAATGGTCATCTCTGAAAAAACATTACTGAAGTGAAACCTTGTAATAACTACATTGAAACAGTTCTATGCAGCTCCACATTAGCTCCTTAGAGTGTCATACTACATCTGTGTGTGGGGCCAACAAAAGTCAGGAAAATACATGATGTTTAGGGCCCAAATCATGACCCTGTTTCTTCAAGCATAAAAGCAACCCTCTGAGAAGTGTTCTGTCCATAATGTGTAGAGGGAAGCTCCATGAGTTTCCTGAGAGACGTTAGAGATCCTGCTTGCAAGATTGTGGATAAAATGGATGGAACAAAGTACAGGATAGGGGAGCCAATTATATGTTGGTAAGCCTAGACAGTGAGCCTATGTATGGAGCCTCATTGCTACTTGAGACAAAATCCCTCCCCATGAATCTACATAGCTGTCTGTGTTACAGACTGGATAGAGAGACTGTCCCGAATTCCGTAGCATGATTTCAGTACTTTTAGCACTAGTAGTATCTTTCCTCTCATGTCAGATGCCTGATCATGAACATCCACTATTCCACACTAAAACAATGTCACAGAACAATATGGGAAAGAAAAGCAGCCATCTGCATCCATGAGTGATGCCGCAGACAGGAGTACTATGAGCATAATGGCTATTAATTGATTGGAACAAAAGTTGGAAATGAGCATGCTGTAACACTGTACTAATAGTGATACTCCGAGGCTTGCTGCCTTTTATCTCTATCCTTCACTGTAATACAATCTCATAAAAATACAGACCCTGAAAATATTACTCAGTAGTAGCATGCTTTACAGTGTTAAGATGATCAGCTGTCTGAGACCAAATATTCATCTTCTCTATAGCTGTGCAATTCTGTGAGAGACGGTGGAAAAACTGCCATCTTTTAAAGAAAAGATATAACATCTGTGAAAATTTGTGTGAATTTCAGCAACCAAAGAAATATTAATGGAACCTTTAAGGTATATCATGAGACTGGACTCAAGCCTAATTCTAATTTTTTGTCTGGTAGTTGACCTAGTAAAAATATGGAAGCTACTTCCTGGTTTTTGCATCTCTGAGTTATTCTACAACCTAATTTTATTTCAAATGTATTGAAGGAAGTGTAATAACAAGGACAAAACAGATAAACACTATTGTCCTCTGATTATTATGACTTTTCATAATGTTATATGTGAAGTCACCAAAAAAACAAATCATTTGTAACATAGCAAAAATTACAGTATCTGTGTTAAAACTTCTGGGATTTTTGGTTTGTTTGTTTCTTTTTTTCCTAGGTAAGAAAATTAGCTTGTTAGCAATAATGGTTCTGGTGGGTGACAGTCTTCACAATTTTGCTGATGGCTTGGTAATAGGAGCAGCATTCTCATCCTCAACAGAAACAGGTGTGACAACGACTATTACTATTTTATGCCATGAAATTCCTCATGAAATGGGTAAGAAATATATATATATATGTATTTTTCCTGATTGGCTTTATAGTTCTAGCTTTTCCAAATAATTCTTTCCTATATGACATTAGTGGGAATTCTTTTTGCTTATAGCATCATGAACTATAACATTAATGTAGAGGTGGAGTATATAAAGAGGCTATGTTCTTCTCTTTCCATTTCACAAAAAGGAGGAGAGGCTTCTGTCCTCATTATTGGATACCAGCCTATCTCACCTTCTCCAAATGTAACTGCCATCAGGTCAGAGTAGCTGTTTATTCTCATGTGTACAGACACAAAAAATAGTAAGGTGTGAGCAAGAGCCATGTGTGCCTGGTGCAACAGGCTAGCCAAGAGTTTTAATACGCAGCAGAGCCATTTAAGAATGTACTCCTCATGCTACCCTCATTCCTG